CTCTTTATTTTTATACTTGTATCGTAAGTGTTTTCACCTCGACGATAATTTCGTTTTTAAACGATACAATATTTTATTGCTGCATTATAAGAATATTATCAAACGGCTTAATCAGTTTTAACGTCCCTGTTTTAAAGTAAAACTTTTATCTACTGTGTCATATTATAAATGCATAAAATCCACCGTTTAATTATAAGAAAAAGGAAGATTATCGTTTTCGATTGAATAAAATCAATTCGACACTCAAAACCTGCTTTCCGTAATAATACCGTTCACCTTTATAAAACCAAAAAATGGCGAACACTTTCTAAACTTACTAAATATACACATCGTTCAACACAACATCTGTTTCGAAGACATACTTTCTGGTATTTATCTTGGTCTTCAATTTCATAAACAATAAATTTAATGAAGCAATAATGAAATAAGATATCTCTGGTACCTCTTTTATCTCCGGTTTCCCTTTAAACTGTCAATACTGTAAATAATGAAAAATGTTTTAACCGTAATACACGTTGACGAGTAACTGTATATTTTTAGTTTAATAAAAGCAAATAAATTGTTTACATTGATAATCATCACGAGTAATGAAATGCTTGATATCTATCCTTGTGAGTATGTCAGATCATGAAATTCTTCGATCTTATTTTCAGACCACCCGTTAGATGAAATTCATGCGTAGATGCAATAGATGAAAAAGTCTCGCGTGTTTTCGCTATGGTCATGCGATTGCTTGATGCGAATAGTATTAGAAGTTTTGAGCATTTTCAGGATTACAAATGGATGATCCCATGAGTTCAATGCTTTGATTCGTCGGAGATCGAAATGTACAGCACAATGGACAGTCTGTCGGACCTCCAGATATAAGTATTGTTAAGTGGTTCGTTAATAGGGCTTTACAGATGACATCACAGTGGTCGGTGCTCCTGTTTTCGTTTTGATTATATTTCACGGCGGGGAAAAACGGAGACCGAGACTGCGATCGAGAAAAAACCACACGAGCTTCGAACCCCTTCATTTTTCGTTTCAATTTCATATTTTTTTCCTTTAATCCCAGTCGGCAGTTTCGATGCGGCCACGCTTCACGACAAATCTCGCCAGCGTTTAGGAATTGCGTGTTAACGACGGTCCACACTGCTTTCGGCAGGACGTAAACATGTTATAGCAGAGGAAATCAAAATGAAATTTCGGTCAGAGGCTCAAGTAAAATGGTCGAATGAACGAATAACTGCACGATGATTAATCAATATATGACGAAGGCAAGTAGCTGATACATAAATGAGACAACGGAATACTATGCTTATCTCCTGCGATTTTTAGCTTCTATCTTATCGGTATGTTGCATAGAGAATGGCCGTTTTTGGTGATCGATTGGGTTAATTTGCTCCTTTGTAAATTAGAATTGTTAATCCTTGGCATCGCGATGTCAAGTTATGTTCACGGTGAAAATTTTACATGGAATTTAGCAAATATGATTATTTTCCACATCGGGTAAAGAAACATAATATTTTCCGCAATAAATATGAAATATTTGTTTTAATTAGTAATTCTGTAGTATTTAATGAGAAATTTTTAAAAACTTATTACAAAAAAGCTTTATTGAGGTGTCAAACTGAAATTCATAAAGTAATCTAAGAGGAGTCGAAGTATTCACATAAATTAGATAACTATTATTATTAGTACATAAATACTTTGATTGCTTTGGCAAAAGTATATGCGATCAATTTAAACTTACTTGGTATAATAGTTAACCCAGACATATCGTCCAAAAGGATAATCCGAAGTAATTTTATTCTACAACTTTTCACATTTATTTATTCATTTTATTTTGCTATACCTGAAAGTAACATAAGAATTTAATTAACATGTTCGATTTAGATTGCAAATCAAGGGAAAACAATGATATTTAGAAGATAAATATAATACAAAATTTGGACTCATCTGGGTTAATGTGGTATCAGTGTCTGAACAAAATCGGCCATTTAATATACAACGAGGCAGCAAAACCTGAAACGAATGCAACCATTGTTGCCGGAGTATTGATACGAAACGTTAAATCATCTCCCGATGACGCTGCGACCAGTCGGTTTCTGTTGGTAGTCGTGATTTCAAGCAAGGTTCACTTTTCGACACTCAAAAATCAGAGTACATAAATTAATATATTACATATCGTCTAAATAATAATTAGCATATACAAAAAAAAACCGTTTAATAGACCACCGCGGACCAGTCCTCGGCAGCGAAAGAAAAAATCTATTTTGACGCGTGCTACAATCGAATACTTACTTTAATACGTTGTATTACAAAAAGAAACGAAACGAAACGAAGAAGGGAGGAAGAAAATAAAAAAAGAGGGGATTTCCTTGCAAATCGTGGAGAATCATACACATCGAAGAACTCGACGAACGTTCCGGAGTTCTTTATGATAAACAAAAAAAGAAAAGGAGGAAAACGGAATAATACAAAAATAAAAATAATAAAAGGGGGAAGAAAAACTGAACACAAATAGCAACGAGTATTCTAAATCCTCGGTAATAATCGCTACAAACGGTGTGTAACATATTCTTCAAAAAAGAAAAAGGAAAGGAAGAAAAATTTCTAACTACGTGCGTTACATCTTAGCTGTGACAAGCGGTCGCCGTGAGAAGAAAACGTATACGCGCGAAACATACAAAATCGAGAAGAGAAGGCGCAGACAGTTTAGCTATATATGTAATAAGATTGAAAAATTCGAACGGTCGGGTCGGGATACAAGATAAGAACAAATCATTGAAAACAATCGTGTTAAGGAACACGTTCAGCCTTAGAGTATAGAATGATTTCTATGCGTCTACGGAAACCTCTCACAACAACGAATCGAATGGTAGCATTTTCAATTGGCTAACAAGCTGACAACACGTCCCAATAAAAATCGAAAGATCAAACAAGAATTTCAAATTCAAATATGAATATTTCGTTCGAAAACATAAAGAATGTTTTACATGTGTCGAATATGTGGCACATTCGACTAAGAAAGGGACAACTTTGTAAATAGAAAATTCCCTCTCTATCTCTGTTATGTAAGGGCTACATGAAATACCCTATTGTTGTTTGAATATTATCCTCCATTTTCAAAGTCTAAGAATATTACAGATTAATTTTGTCCTAAATCTGTATTCCTAACCTGATTTCGCTATTTCTATATGTTATATTACTTAATAAACATTAAAACTTGATAAGATACTACTTGTTACATAAAGCTATTGTATTTTAGAATACCTGACGTTATGCTGGCATCAAATACACCAGTCTTTATAGATCATTCCATCTAGTTGACAGATTAAAAATGGGTTCATTCGATTCTCTATGATGAAAGCTTTACTTGGGTATATAGAAATCACTGAACACTCTTCATAAAAAAGGTATAGTCAATGAATGATACAATGCGATCGTAAATTAGACCTACAATAAGCAAACTTTGCAGCAGACCGCAGATACGTGATTCCGCTTTAGCACATGTAAAAAATATACATTTTTTGTTTCATTTGGTTGCCAAATTATTTGTTTATGGATCATGCTAAATTACTAATACTCTATTTAGTACAATATAGCCTCTTAATTTGAGATAGAAATTCTAGTCTTAAATAACATGTTCACTGTCAAACCAATTTCCATAAACGTTCCCTAAAATAATTATTTTATTTTAATGAAACGGCAACTTATAAGGCAATGTCTATCACAGCAATCATTCTTCTAACCTATTTGAAAACTCTTACACCCAAACGAAAATTGTTTTATTTGATAGCTTATGCGTTTGAATGATAAGGCAGTCAAAGTGATAGATAAGCTAGACCTCGTTTGATTCTAATTTTACTGACAAGATTATGTTATTGTTATACATGTAGTATCACCCAAGAGTATTTGATCGCTTCTATACGTACAGCTTAAACAGCGAAAAATAACAAAAGATAATGTAGCCATAATTTAATGTATATCTTTTTCATAAGTTGAATTGGTTATTTATCGAACGACTGATCAAATATTTTTGTGCGATAGTGCGTATGTTGAGTGTAACATAATTAATTAATCATTTTTGGATGAATTTGAATTCGAAAACAAGTCTAAGAGAAATGTAAGACATACCACATTTTGTATGTTTGTAAACTATTTTGTACTAGCATGTGAAATATGGCTGCTTCAGTTGTTGGTCGAATTTGCGATCACATTACACCTTTCCTGCCGACAGTACTCGGTTCGTCAAGCAAGAACGCAATTTACAGGACAAAACGAAAAAGTCTCAATTTATCTTTCAAGTGAACCTATCACTCGATTACAATCAATTACGAAGGCATGCGCGGTTAAAATCTATTCCCTTTGAACCCTTTGCACCCGGTATATTATCGAGACCAGATCGAACGAACAGATTGATAGAATTTTTTTCTAGTTTATAGTCGACGGTATAACATTCTTCGAGCAAACAGTACGACGTATAGAAAAACGAGAACGCATTACAATATCATAAACTTTATATTATATATATATTCTATATATATTCCTGCGAA